TCTAGGAACTTGGTGGTGGAAGTGGGAGAGTATGTGGAACCCATTAGATTACTTCCAAAAGGCCCCTTGAAGAGAGAAGGGAGGTTCCAACGTATATTGAGGAGAAATAGTCCAAGCATAACTGATGTCAGACTCAATGGAGACTAACAAATTGTACCTGAGTGTGTCTAGTGTGTCGACAGGGGGGCTAGAGTCTAGACGGGTACAGATTGCTCCAGAGGGTCAAACCCTCATAGTGGTAGATCTTCGTTCCGTTACTATGTGAGGATACTAGAACCCCATTAGATTACTCTCCAAAAGAGAACTTTAAGAGAGAAGGGAGGTTGCAACTCAGATTGAGGAAAAATGGTCTATCTGACGTGGGACTCTGACAGGAAGGAGGCTAGTGGCACACCTTTTCTGTGGCTAATGTTAGCATATTTCATCAAATAGATCCTTATTGGAGGCTCTTGGGCTCATTGACTCTCACCTCCTTAGGTTACCAGCTTGATGCATCTAGTCTTTTTGTCTCTTTTATGAGATGGAGACCTTTGATAACCTCTCTCTTGTCATTGCCTCTCCACCGACTCCATTTAACCTCAGTGCTATTCAAGGATCTTTTTGGCGGCTTTTGTGCTATCACGATTTTCGTCGTAGGACTTGGAGGCTCGGTAGACCATCATTATATCTTTCTATTGTGATTAAAACAACTTTGATCATCTTCTACACTTGCTCTTCTTCATGTTCACTGATTTGAGGTGTTTGCTTTAGTTTGTGAGCATTTCGGAGATTTTGGTGTTATCATGATATTAGACCCTATGTTACATTTCGTTCTACTTCACGTTACTCTAGCTCACTTGTTATTTCTTGGAACTCAAGTGACTAGTTGGAAATTCAAACACTCCAGATGTCATTCTGCATGTTTAAGAAATTTCAGTGTTCACTTTGTGGAACATGAAAGTTCATTGGCATTTTGACTATATTAAAATTTCATCATTTCTTTTCTCCAAATGTAGAAAGTTCAAGGGTCCTTTATAGAAAGTCAAGGCACACTTTCAGAATTTTCCCAAAAATATAGCATTTTGTATCCTGATTTTCTGAATTTTCAAACAACTGTAGAATTTACAGAAAATCTTGAGGTTTAACTAGGTTTCATATGTTATCCGTCTGGTTTACTATATATCCATGGTTTTTTCTCTAGTAATTGACACTGAATTGAACACTAAAAACTTCCTAAATGGAGGCGGTCATATGTATACTGCTTTCTACTGTACACAATACTATAACAAAAGGTTTTGCAAGCATGGCAAGTCGTACCTGAAAGAGATTCACATAAGCAACTTGGATAAGTGCCTTCAAGCGCTAAATATTCTTCTCCACCACACCACATACAAGGAAGAAATAACCCTGAGAAAGAGAAATAATGAAACTTAAATCTGACTACATTTTTGGCTAGAGAGGAGACATGCCCAAGCACTGGTTTGCGGTCAATACTGATTTTGATGGTTTATCTTGCATTTTGGTTTTGCTATATGGTGATCTATTTTCCTCTTTGAATACTTTGAATTTTTTTATTACCATTTTTATATGCACATATATCTAATTAGATTTCTTATTACAATGGTTAGGAAATGTTATGCCTAAAACAAAGCACCAGTGACAGAGAAAGTGGGAATTTGTCGGATGATGGCTGGTGTAAGAGTTTCCGTTTATTCTTATCAGGGGAAGACAATTCGCCGATGCATTTTACTTCATGTTCTAGCAATGTAAGTTTGCAGGCAGACTAACTGGACATAGATATCCTCATCAAAGATATAAAGTGGCAACTGTTCTCTATCAGCATTGGTTCTTGTAGCTTAGCATTTCCTACATGATTGATTGTTCACTAATGCCTCTAGCATATAACATATTATATTGTTATGAACTTATGGATTGTATGCAAAGTTGCATTGCGTTGTGTGATTTTACGGTAGAAGTGACTGAAAAGAATATGTTGCCTGAAAGCTGATGATTTCTGCTAATTGTGAATACAAAAGAGAAGCTGATTCTTTCTCATATCCTAGAATATTTCTGTGGAACTGCTGTTTACTTGCAAAAATCAGAAATGATGATAGTATGATAAGGAAGGCTCGGATGGAAATTTCAAGAAATTCATTAGGAATTTTTTTTAATCAATTTTTAGAGATTTATTCGTTTGGAATAACAGGAACTAGGGATGCAGGTGTTTTTTGTAAGTAGGCCTTTGGAACATGTAGTATTTACATAAGGAGCCTATATAGCTTTCTTTGAGGCAAAATGGTCATTTGTATCTGTGGTTTGCGTGCATAACAATTTGGTTACCCATGACCTTATGGGAATTAGGGAAAGCATCCATCTCAATGTTGTTACACGCTTCACGCTTGTTATCACGTAGTCATACAGATTTATAACCACATTAGCATACATGGTAGGAATTTCCTCTTGCAAGCCCATTAGATCATCTCTCTTGGCACCCTTTTACATGCCTTCTCTAGATTGATAAACAACATATGCAAATAATGTTTCATGCTACATTTGTATTCATCATTTTCTTATGTGTTTTACTCGGGACTTTATACTCTGCGATGCAGCAGAATGTAAAATTTGATTGTAAACCGAAAATTAAATTATATTAAATTTATCTTTTTATCTATTGGATTAAATCAATTGTCAGATGAGGTTTCCAAAAATCTCATATTCTGTTGTTTGGTTGGTTGATTGATCTTATTTGGGAAGGGTAGTAGAGGTTTCCAAAAGCTCTGTTCTTGACATTTAGAAGGGTGAAATAGGAATGTTTTAGAAATCGAAAGATTTTGTATGCATTAATAATTTGTACTTTATGTTTCTTAAGTTGTACCCTTGAAAAATTAATAGTTTTTAAGAACAAAAACTAAATGCTTATAGTATAGGTTATGTTTTGAGAGTTTCAGTTTCACTTTTCAGCATGAAGTTCGATATAATCTTCGTCTATCACTGAATGAAGAATCTGAGTATTCATTGAGTCCAATTTTGAGTAAATCTCAAGCAGAGAGATTTGAATTCAATCAAGCTCTCCCAGTACACCAGCCAGATGCTAAAGGTATCCCTGAGGAGGATATCCATGAAATGAACTATAATGCTGTTGAAGCTTATATGGTTCCAAATCAACAGAGGGACCATTTAGGAATTTTAGGTCATGAGGATCTCAGCTTAAAAGAGAAAAAGGGGATAAAGCCTAAAGTAGATGCCAGATCTCTGAAAGTTGATGTCGATGATGCAGTTGAACTCGCTGTTGCAGCATCAGAGGCATTGACAATACATGAGGTAGTAAAAGATGAACCAAGTTCAGAACTTTTGATGGCTTCAACCGTACTTGAAGCTGCAATGCGGGTGAAGCAGGCACGGTTGGAGGATCTCGAAGAGACTCTAAGTTGTTGTGGTGGGGAATGCAATGATATTGACTTTCTTTCAGATTTGGACGAGTCCACCATGGCAGATGCATATGAAAATGTGGGGTTAACAGTTTCTGGCCATGGTCATCTGAGTGCTTATGAATCCGTATCTCGCATTAAAGACAGTTATGCATCAGAAAGTTATATGTCTAATGTCAAACAGAAGGGCAATGAGCCTGGCTGCCTAGAAGTTGATTCTGGTTCTATTTTACCAAAACAGCAGCATAAACAGGTTAACAGTGCCAGCATGTTATTGAAGAGAGGCTTGGAATCTGTCAAAGGTGATACATGCAAGGAACAGGTTGATTATGCAGCAGTAAGTACAGAGAACGCCGATCTTGCATGTGATATGGATCCCATGTTGAGTTGTTCGGTTCGGCAAGCTGAATTTTGCACAACAGAGGTGAATTGGTGATTCTCAAGCATATTTTATACACCGTATGTATTGACTTAGCTGTTCATTATAAAAAAAATTGTGATGGTTATCAGGTTGGCTTGCAGAGGGAGGGCTTTCCAGTTGGGGATGTGACATCATCTCAAACAATTTTAAGATCTGTCCAGTCTGGGAGCTCTGGTTACAATGGTAATATTTTACTTTCTGTATTTTCTTCTTTTTATGTATACATGTTGCTTCCTTTCTCCATCTCTCTCTCTCTCTCTCTCTCTCTCTGTGTGTGTCTCTCTCCTGGTCTTTAAATTTTCTTTTCGTATCTTCATCTAAAGGTAGGGGCTTAGACAATGGGGGGACTAGGTGGTGCCAACCCCCTTCCCCCCACAACTATAATACCAAGTCTCAACCCAATTTATTTCTAATACAATATTATTATTATTATTAGAAAAAAGTCCCTTAAACCCCAACTCTCCAACAAGCTTTCACTCTTTTGATGCATATTTTTTATGATAAAAGGCAATAAATTTTTTTGTGTTTGTTTTTTTAAGCAAATATAAAAATAGCCTAAACTTTAGCTTGCTAGCTTAATTTAGGGGTCGTTTATCAAAACGCTTACTCGGTAAGCACTTACTAACCATTTATCTTACCGGATCTGTAAGAGGCAAGGCAAGGAACGAGATTCTTACCGGGTAAGTGAGGGTGATAGCTCTTACTGGGTAATATTGTGCATACAATGCCATTTTGATGACCAAGAAGCTTACTCGGCAAGGTTAGTAAAAGTGGTGATTCTTGCAGGTAAGCGTTTTGGTAAACGACGCCTTAATACTTTATATTTGAATGAAATTATGTAAACGTTATTATAAATAACGTAAAATTGGTAATTTGTTTGAATTTTAATATCTATTGTATATAGATAAGCATTTTCTGGCTCCGCCTCTCTAAAGTTTGATGTAGCATTAAATTCATTTTCCATTTTTTTGTTTTTTCAGAGAGAGAAGATAAGATGACAAATATGGTTTCAGATAGATTTCATAGCCGCTGGTTTGGTGGTTGGACATGGAAGGTGAGTGCTGCTTGGGAACATATCTTCTGTTAGTGTCTGTTCAACATGTGTGTCCACTCCTTCCTTTTGCATGGATTCCTTTATTTTCATCCAATCTGATAACTGCTTTTCAAAACATATAAATCAAAGAGATTGTCTATTGTCTCCAGCCAGGGATCCCAGTCTCCATGATGATACATAATTTATTTGACATGTTTAACAAATACATTCAAATAGATAGGTTTTGTTAACACCTTTTGAACAACTCTTTTTCAAATGAAATGTTAATGATTATGTATTTGAAACTTTGGAAAAAGAAATAGATGTGTGCTCCGTTCGTGGAAAAACATGTTCTCTTTCAGTTCTGAGATCAACCGCCTACTTTTAAATAAAATATCGATGTGGATTTTGTTTCAAATGTTTTTATAGTAGAACATTTTTATTTGTAGCAAGTGATAAAGCTTAGTGTAGTTATTAAAATTTCTAGGACTTTGGGATTTAATACTCTTACTCTTCTTGACAAAAATATGGTGAAGAGAGAATAAATTTCTTGAGAACTCGGTGAATATATAGCAGTTCGAAGAAGTAACTGTTTGCTGTACCTTCTCTTTGAAATGATCGAGTTTCCTTATGACACATTAGAATTTCAAAAATATTAGTGAAGAAAGCCTATGAGTTCCTTTTTTCAAGGTGAAAACTGAAAGGCTTATGGGTCATAAAGTTTGTGACATAGGTATCATATAAACTATAAAGTGAGGATGGTGTTTATGCTTTCATGATATAACATTTTCAGTACATTTTGTTTTAAACAAAGCAGTACTACTCTTACATTACGTTGTTTATCTTTACACCTTTCTGTAACTGCACTATAGCAACTTCTTAATCTAGACTGACCATCGTGAAAACACTTGCACTTTCAGTTTATGAGCTAATCTGAAGTCTTTATGTTGGGTGAAATTTAATGTACCTTGTTACGGAAATACAAGTACAAATTGGTCTCTTTGATGAGTAGGCAGTGCATGGGTTTATTATATCCATCTTGCTGGTATTCTTGCATCAGATTGGGAAATACATTTTATAGATCATTTGATCATCTTTGATTCATGGTATTAAATATGCTTATACTATTACAAATGATTCTTTAGGAATCATAACTCAGTTTTTCCCAATCTGAACTATATGGAGTTCAAATGAACATTGCAAGGAGCCAAGACTGTTTTCAAACTTCTTTTTATACATTTTCATTGACCATCTTCTGATATGGCTTTACCTTCATGCCTGCCACTTTCTTTTGTATCCGTTACCTACATTATGATTCTGTTACTTCCGATAGTTGTGAAATGAGTGTGCTTTCTTTCTCATAATTTTTGCTTCTTGTCATCAGAATGAAGCAAGCATTCCTGCAGTTACCAACCATAAATATGAAAGATGCATCCATGAACCTTTTGCCAATGAAACAAGTTCTCTCTCGGAATCTGCTGATATCACTCCAGATAAGAATTCCTGCATCCAAAAACAAGACAATGATCGCAAAATTGTTTCTCAATCAAGTGTAGCTCCAGAAGGTACATACGAGGAATCTAGTAATAATGGGAATTTGTTTTCTGAGGATGTGGCCGTTTCTCCTTGTGTGTCCCCAATGGACCCTTTGTGTTCTGTTGTTCCTTGCAGCTTTACTTTGGATAATGCTTGCCACCAGAATGTTGCATCTCAGAATTGCCAACGCCAGGTGAATCCCGAGAAGCAATTTAGCCTTGCAGCCCAAGTTAATTTGGATAATCTAAAAACTATCTCACCCCAAGGTGCCGATTTTCTTCATGGGGATGTGAAATCTATTTCGAAGATTAATGGTGAGAGTTCTACTGTAGGTAGGCAGGTGGCTTTGCTTAAAACTTACAGCATGCTTTCTCTTAGGTGCAATCCTTACTTGGAAAAGGGACTTCAACATGCTCCAAGCGTTCTTTCTTCTGTTACACAAAATCCCATTCTTGACTTAAGAGATGATAATGATGGTCATAATCCCAGTCACACGAAGGAAAATACGAACTTACCCATGGCTATAAACAATGGGAACACTTCTAGATGCATTTCACCTGATATTGGCGGAGAAGAAAATCTAGATCGAACTGTGGTACCAGATAGCAATGAGGACTTGCTTCTGACCAAGGTTTCCAGAAAAGTAGAATCTAACTGCAAAAGTTATCTAGTTCCGAGGAGGAAGCGTGTCCATTTTTCAGAAACTGAAATTACTTATCCACAGGTAAAGAAATTCCAAACGCCAGAAACCCGAGTCAAAGATTCTTTAGTTGCAAGTAGAATTTGCAGAGCGTTGAGAAATTCTAACCTGCAACCTAAATCTAGAGCTTATGAAGTAAAAAGACCACGTGTCACAGAAAATACGCTATTTCAAAATCTCAAGTTCTTGCTTACGGGATTTTCTGTCAAGAAGCATAAGCAGATCAAGAATCTAATTCAGAAGAATGGCGGCATAGTTTTGGATGATATTCCTTCTCCTTCAACAGCTAGAGGAAAGAAAAGCTCAAAGAATAAATGCCAGCTACTTCCTCTTATTTTGTGTCCCAGAAGGCTATTGACAACCAAGTTCTTATATGGATGTGCAGTAAATGCATCCATTCTTAAAGTAAACTGGCTGTTTGATTCAGTTGATGGAGGTTTGATCTTACCACCTAACAAATATACGATTCTTAAAGAACACGCTACTAAAAGTTGCATCATTATAGGAAAACCAGTTCTTTGCACTTACTTTATCTTTGAAAATCTTGCCATCATGCTTCATGGAAAACACAAGTTCTGCAGCAAAATGGCGAAAATTATCAAGCATGGAGGGGGATTGGTGTTCAAAACGTTCCACTGGTTGGTGAAGACTCTTGATTCTAAAAAGGTATCGGTGGGGGCTATTGTCGTGGAGGACGAAAATGCTGTTTCACGTCACTTGAAACAATGTGCGATGGAGCAAAAGATTCCTTTGATGCCATTTAAGTGGATTATAAACAGCTTATATGCAGGAAGGCTTCTTCCTTCACCAGAACACAAGCATTCTCTGCCATCTAGGCTTTTAAATCATCCAGTTGATATGGAATTAAGTGAAGAAATATGAATATCTACCATCTTGGCTACTTACCCGATGAAAGGTTCGAATTCATAAAACAATTTCAGGATTTAATCAATATATGATTCAATGTCTTGGCTTGGTGGCTGAAGACTTGCATTCCTGCTTGTGGTGATGTTGAAGCATCAACAATAGCAGGTATCTTTCATGGTACAACTGATAATACTGTTGTTGGGTGTGTTGAATGTAAGCCTGTTCTGTTAGTGAATTTTATTAAGTATCACCATTTTTTATGGGATTTGACAGTATCATAAGTTGCATCTTTATGAGAAAAGGAAATTAGAGTTGTCTAGAAATGACTGTTGTTTCCTGGTGATTAAAATGACCATTTTCATGGTGATTAAAATGAAGCATTTTCATAGACTTGGACTGTTATTCCAAGGGACCTTATGACTTCTTGTATGCAAACACTTTTTCAAAAGCCAAGTTTTTTTCCTTTTCTTTTTGGTAATCGTGGTGTCCAAGTCAACTTGCGAGCATCTCAACTAAGCCCATGATGTCTAGAAGAACCGCCGGGAAAATTTCCCGTGGCCTTGGAAAGACTTGAAGGGGTGACATCTGGGGAGGAGCCCCAAACTACAACAAACAAATGGAAGAGGCAGGAATCAAACCCACATAGAGAACTTAATAAATTTACAGTTTTCTCGCTTTTGACCCCGCTCAAACTAGCTGTCCTGCCATCTTAGAATTATAAAGAAGCATTTCTTAAACAAGCTTTATTGTTGATTGAGCTATTACACTAACGCCTCAAGGTTAAGCTAGGGTTTTTACGCTCTATTTTCTCTGGGGTAGAGAACAAGTATTGTGAACATTCCATTCAAGACTCTAGACCCTACCAAATGTGATTGGTTTGGTTTATATGACTTCTTGTATGCATGTGTTTTCTTTTAAAGTGGTATCGACAACTTGAATGCACCATCAATTCATGTGGTGGTATAGGTCCACCTACACGATATCTTCTTATGGGAGGTTGGCGTGGCGAAAGGTTTTTGCACTCGATAGGAATCGAACCCGAGACTAAGGAATTGCCCTTTTTATTGACCGAGAGGATCGCCATTGACATAACCCTCGTGGTTTTTTTTTCATGTATGTATAAGTGTGTTTTGTTTATGTAATTTTACCTTCAAATATTTTGCTATCCTTAAGATCTCAAATCTTTGTTGTTTTTTGTTCAGAATCATGACTAATGTGAGCTTGGCAGTCCCAAATTGGTCTTTGACAATTTTGTTTTGTTTTTTTCAAGTCTATTTTTGTAGTTTTGCTTCTATAAAAGCAAGTTTGGACGTTCGATCTTCAAAAAATGGGTCTTGAATTAAGCTTTGGTTTGTTCAAAACAGTTTTATATTACTAAATTAGCCAAGAATTGAACCTCAAAAGAATTTTTATTCCTTTCTTATTTTAGAAATCAACGTCTTTAAAAAAAATTAAGGCTTTGTTACTCTTCCTTATTAAAATTATGATGGTAAAATAGAAGGAAATTGTCAAATGATAGTTGTACCCTTCAGATATTGGAGGGACTAATTCTAAAACAAAATGCAAACATGGAGAATTATTTTGTAATAAATGAAGTTTAAGGACCAATTTTGTATTTTTCACAGAACCAAATCCAAAAGTTACTTATTTATTTTAATGTGTCATCATTTAAAGAATATTACGATAGCGATATAGATGAATATAAACTACTAGAGTTATTTATGGAGTAGATGTTCTTTCTTTGCTATCGTGATTTCTATATAATCTTCTGTGACACTCACACTTCAAAATGAAAATGGAGTAAATACATAAATATGAAAATAAAAAAAATAAAATTGGTTTACTTTATTGGATAAGAAATGTGAAGAAAAAAACACCTGAAAATGGACCATTCATGCAATATAATGAAAGTGAAATGAAGAAAAGAGTTATGTTCAATCGCACTAAAAATGAAAGATAATATCAAATTAGGGATGAAAAATGTAATATTAATCAAAGTATTAAAGGTCCAAATATCGTTATCTAATAGTTCAGGGGAGTGCTAGATGCAAAGTTCCTCATAGTCGACAGACCCTTTTTGTTAAAAATAAAAATCTGATTAGTTTCAGATCTTGAAGGCGATGGCTTGAGTTTCTATCTTCCTATTTCTCATTTAGTCATTGAATAAGCCAAAAATATGCAGAATTAAGTAGTCAACCTTTTCTCTATATTTTTGGTTCAAGAAAATTGGGATTTGGTCGAGTTTTGAGAGAGAAATCGGAGGTTGAAGTTCAAAATCTAAAAACATCGTTTTATCGACGATTGGAGGTAAAATACTTAATCAAATTTCGAGTTTTTTATATGCTTAGCTCCGTTTTTCAACCCTCTATCAAACTTTAGTAGCCTTATGTCTCGGATTTAAGTTTTTAACAGATTTTTGCGTGGTAAGAAGCTAAAATTTTAAATGAGAAAATGAGGTTGCTTGATAGTTTGCATTGATTCTTGTTCTTACTGTTGAGGAAAATGATTTTCTAGAGTTTTAGTAAAAAGAATCAGCAATAACAGATCAAAAATAAGCCAAACGACCATGACAAGCCCCTGTCGGCGTGTTGAACGTTGCCGATATGGTGTGTTGGGCCGTTGTGAGGCATGCTGGGCCGGGTGCATTTGGTCTAAGCCTTCCCCCTTCTAGGCTATTTTTGTCTGTTGGGGGCTTATTTCCTATATCATTGTTTGAGCCATATCAAATTAGTTAAATGAGGTCCAAAGTCCAAACTAATTAAAAGTTGTCTAATTTAATTAGATTTTTAGTTGGGCTTAATTTTTTTGGATTTTAATCAAGTGTAGGTTAATTAATTCATTGAAGATTAATTAATAATTAGGAATTTAGTTAACTAATTTAATTTCTATTTTAGTTAATATATAAATTATATTTAATAAACATATTATTCTAATTTAGAAATTTAATTAGTTATCCTAAGTAGGAGGTGTTAATATTAAATTATTTAATTATTCAGTCGATTTTTCTAACTAGATTAAAGCGTTGTAAGTTGAATTCATTGTTTATCGGGACGCTTTAATTTGGAGAGATGACTTTATAAGATTATAAAATGATTATTTAGACGTTTTGGTTAACTAAAGTTAGTTGAGGTTGACCGAGTTGAACACGAGTTGACTTTTACATCGTTTAACCTACTAGGATTCTTATGATGAGATGAAATAGAGATATTTGAACCACAAGGGTGGTGTCTAATTGGTTTGAGCTTGACTTCAAATGTCAAAAGTAACATGAGGTCCTAGGTTCAAATCCAAGGAGGAATAAAAATTCTTTTGTAGCCACGGAGATTCAAATGCGGTGACTCCGGGCTATCTGCAAAGCAGGTGGTCACCCTGGGATTAGTCGACTCGCGTAGTGGGTTGGATATCTAGGTTAATAAAAAAATAGAGATATTTGAGACATTAAGAGTCGGTTTTGGAGTGACTTTATTTCTTGTCGGGTTGACCATATTTAACTTTTGGAGAAATAAAGTCACCAAGGGTGCGTTTAGTACACTGGACAGGGACATGCATAACAGAACAGGGATCCCTGTCCCATGTTTGGCAGGAATTTTATGTGGAACAGACAAGAACATAATGGAACAAAGTAGAACAGACCTGTTCCACCCCTACCCCATGGAACAGGGTGGAACAAGGGGGAACAAACTTATATTTTACCAATATAACCTCAAAATAAAACTTAATTCTCTTCTAAAACATCAAATAGGTCTCTCTTTTACATTTTATTCATTCTTTAAATTTTATTTATTATATGTTATGTTTTTTAAACTTTCATTTATTGTCCTCAAAATATTATTTTTATACGGTTTCTATATTTTTATTAATTTATGTAATTTATTATATATTCATCCCTATAGTTTATTAATTTATGAAATCCAAGTTTTGTGAATGTGATGATACTATATGGGATCACTAGCCAAATTGTTTTCTTGATGCTTGTATTTTATTTACTATTTGATATTTAATCTATTTTAATTGATTGTGAGCTTGTTGGTAGTAGTTTTTYCTTCTTAGTATGGAATGCATATAGATTTGCTTCGATAATGGATTCTTGATGCTTATATTATATTTACCTTTTTCATATATCATTAGTTGATTATGAAATCATGTATTTTTGCAAATATATTTTTGCAAGTAGCAGTGGTTTTGATGTAAGTTATACTTTGCACACCGTATTTGTTAACATTTATATTGATTATTTAGTGAAAAAAACAATAAACAGCTCACTGGGGATAAATTGGTCATTTTAACCAGTTCTGTCCAGTCATGTCATGTCTTACCAAACGTTGAACAACTGTCTTGTTCTGTTCTGTCTTGTCATGTCCTGTCCTGTCCTGTCTGCGTACCAAACGCACCCTAATTGGACATGGTGGTATGAAATGTGTAGATTTTCGGATGAGAGCTATCAATAGATGATCTACACTTAATTAGATGAGTTTTCATGAGATTTACAATGAAATGCATACTACAAAATTATTTTATCATGCTATGCATGATACTAGTTTTAATACATGATATCAACTTTATGCTTACATGTATGGAGCATGCATGCCAATTGTTTTCTGGTTTTTAAACATATTAGCATGCTTAAAGTTTTCAATTGTTTTAAATTGTACAAGTGGTAGACAGTTAGGAATATGAGATGTCATAAACGGTTTGTCACACTTGAGGAAAGGCATGACCCTGAAATGGGTGACTAGCTCTGTATGAGCCGTACAAACCAAATAATGTTTGTGACATAGTAGCACGACCCCGTAATGGGTTACTGGCTATAGGTGAACCATACAGACCGAGGGAATGTTGCATACCATTTGGTGCGGAGATTACAAGTTGATAATTGTGACGTAAACCATGAACTCACTAGGCTTTATAAGCTGACTACAACATGCATCTTAGGACCCAAAACTTCAAAGTTAGAACAAGAGAAAGGGACACACATAAGAGACTTGCATACTTATTTATGATTATGCATTTATAGTATGTTTTAGATTTTTTTTTATGTTTACATTTATAAAGATTTTTTTTCCTGCCATATTTTCGTAGCCACTAGGACTACTATATCTCCTAATGTTATTCCCTTATCACTCTTTTGTAAACCTTTTGTTGCCTGGTGTGTAAGCATTAATAATTGATCACTTATCCCACATGCTAAAATTACAGTTTTCTTTTGGTTTTGGTTTACTGGTTGTTCTTCGATAGTTACACAAACTATTATTTTCAAAATTAGTTATTGGGTTGCTATTTGAAGATTATTTCACTTATTCCCCTAATTTATTTAAGTATTTCAAGTTGAGCTTTATTTAGTTATTTAAGCATGTGCTTACTATTTATTTATTTATTTATGTGTGTAATCACCATTATTGATATATTAACTTGAATTGATATGTTTGCATACATATTCATATATTTACCCTAATAAGTAATTTCTAAATTTTTGGGTGTCATAATCATCAATCATATTTTTTTTTACATAATTGTACTTATTTTTTTGAAAGTTACACTTTCAACCCTATCTTTTAATCTTTTGCAAAAACTTTTGAAATACATCAGATGAAAAAAAAAAAAAAACATATGAATTTGGTTTCAATACCAAAACGTATTGTTTTTTATTCATCATGTGAAATACCATAACTTTTTGTTCTTATACCAAAAACTACTAACTATTAGTCTTATATATTTAGGCGAATAAATAGTAAGATATCAAAGGATTTTTTCAAAAGGGTGTTAAATACCCTTAGGTGGCGTTTGGTTCACAAATTCTAAAGAAATTTGATGGAATTGAAATGTTATATTTCTTTGACCAAATTCCATTCACTTGTTTGGTTCATTCTTTTTCATGGAAGGAATCTTTAAATTCCACAAATGAGGGATTTAGTCATTTAGACATTCCATGACATAGATGTAGTATTTTGATGGATTGGAATTTAACATTTTCATAATTCAAAAAATACTCTTAACCCCACATATACCTTAATCTCTTCAAGAAGTCGACACCCTTTCTCATCTTCTCGATTTCTATTCGGAAGCTCTTGACACACTCTCTCGTCTTCTCCATTGCAACACCAAAATAGATTTGTCTTCATCAAAGATTTGTTTTCTTCATTCACTGTTCGATCTCTGCTCAATAACTACTCGTTTGTTATCTCGATTTCTCCACTGTTTTGGTACTTGTTTCGATTTCGCTACTGTTTTGATTTCTCTACTATAAATTTATTTTGATTTCCTGTCTTTGGATTTCTCAGTATCGGAAGTTAGGTTTGTTGGATTTCGATTTTTCAACAGTTAAAGTATTTATAGTTTAAAAAAAATTAAAATTATCAAAAATATATTTTGGCGATTTACCAACATTTCATTTCAATTCCAAAGTTATATTATGTGAACCAAATAGACAGACTCCAATTCATTTAGCATATTTCATTTCATTCTACCAACCAAACATGTGGTCAAAACTAACAACATTCCATTCCAATTCATTCGAAGTCAAATTCCTTTGACAGATTCCATTACATCAAAAAACATTCTGCGAACCAAACGTCACCTTAAGGTTTGTAGGGACTTAAGTAATCTGTGTGATTTCCCCCTACTACATCAAGTCAAAGGCGTAAATTAGTTCTTCCTTTGACATTTCTTTCACTCTTTTGAAATTCACATAACCGAGCCTTGCATGCCATAAATTATAATCAAAAGAATTTGAACTTGCAAGATAAATAGAAATTAAAACAAAACTATTTATAACATAAATATTTCATTCCTCAAATAGCCGAAGCCTACAAAAGAGCCACTTTTTGACAAGATAAACTTGTCAGACTCAAGTACTTGCCTATATCCTAACTTATTCAATGTACTATCGAAAACCAAATTCTTTTGAATTTGCGGTACATAGAAAACATCTAAAAGTTCAATTATGTTGCTAGAACTAAACTCTAGCCTAACTAAGCCACGTCAAAAAATGAGAGCAGTCGACTCATTCCCCATGTGTAGCACACACCCTCTTCAACTGGTTCCAAAAATGTGAACCAACATTGATCTTTTCACACTTTACTCATGGGGCCCGAATCGGTCCACCAAGCAACACCATCATCCTGCACATAAAATCATTTGGATAAGTATATAATTCAAATTTGAACTAAAACCAAATTCAAGAAACTAACCTTGTCGTGGGTTTTAATCTTTGGATCTTTGCCCACCACCACTACTACTTGCCTCTGTTGATCCTCTCTCTCAGTGATTTGATGATAATCCCTTTTCACTTATACTTTGTATTTATGTTTCTGTCTTTTCAGTTCTAGCGATCATCACTAAACTTGTTCAGTGATCGCTGAAGAACTTGTATTGTAATTCAATCAGAGACAGCGATACTTCTAGAAGACAACACTCACACCAAAGAATCTTCAGCTAATGTCAAAGACTGAAACTGAAGATTAGAGACTGGCGAATATGTGATCTGAAGCGGTACTCAGTGATTACAAGCCCGTCTACATATGTATGAAGACTGTTCAAGCCTCAGCGAATGCTGAAGAGACCTTCAGGTTATTCCAACATTCAGCGATCAAAGGAAGCTTGCTTAGCACGATTGTTGTTGTTTTGTCCTTATACACACAAATGACAAACTCATACCCTTCTAAACATTGGTACGGTACGGAGCCGACTAGTCGACTCTATTGTCCACCAACTTTAGGTAAGGATGTCTGTCCATGAATAGTGCTTTTTGTACTATTCACTGTGGCAAAGGACAAACATTCCTCTTAAGGCTTGACACGTACTCTAACCCTACCATTTTGCATTAAATGAACATTTAATGCACTGGGTATAAATAGAAGTGTTTCTTCTCCATGCAGAGTGCGTGCAACTCACTCTCTAAACCTAATTCTTACTTTGAGCATTTTCTAGCTTAAGTAAAGGAACTTTTCTTATAGAATTTCTTTTCTCATTTGCTAAGAATCCGTGTGTAATCAAATAATGTTTAGATAGGTTTTCTTACCTTATCTTTCCGCAAACAGTCTTGTAAAATTTGTATTGATCTTCTTTATCAATATACATTTTAAATTTGAAAATATTGTGTTTGTATTCATCCCCCCCTTCTACAAACTGTTGTACTTATCTTGTAGACCCTCAAGGGACCAACAAGTGGTATCAGAGCAGTGTTCTCTCTTCTCTAATCTGTTTAGCTTTTTTTTGTATTTGTTTATCTCTTTCCTTAGATAACTTTACTGCTTACAAATGGCTTTACAAATTACAAACACACTCACACAAAAGATAATGACTCTCTTGCCAAACCTCACCGGTTTATCCGTGACAATTTTAGTCTCTGGAAGAACCGGATGTCCCTCTTTCTTGAAGGTGTGGATCCTGAAATTCTACATTACATAGAAAATGGACCATATATTCCATTTGCTATTGCTCCGACTGTTCCAGCAACAGCTATGACTGCCGTGATTCATGAACGACAGATTCTAAAGCTCCCTCATCAGTGGAGCGATGAAGACAAGAATAAGATATCTATAGACACACGTGCTTAGTGTATAATAGTTATGTCTCTTCCTGATTATATTTATCACTTCGTGATGAAGCTCAAATCTTCTAAATCCATGTGGGACACACTTTGTGTCCAGTATGAAGAAACCACTCAGGTTTAAGAAATCAGAAAGATCAATCTAGTAAGACAGTATGAACGCTTTCTTTGTGGAAAGTCTGAGACGATGTTCGAAGTACATCAACGTTTTAAATGCCTCCTAATTGATCTTAGGGTTGTCGGCAGGGAATATTCCAACTCTGAAACTTTAACTAAGTTTCTGGAATGTCTTCCCGAGTCTTGAGACACCTTTTCCATGTGTCTCAAGATGTCCAATGACATGTCCACTCTTGATTTGAATGATAACATATATTGTAAAATGGAAGATACAAATATGTTCAAAATCTTACCATCTAAACTGAAGGTAAGATTATAAGCTCATTGCAATCTCATTTCATGTTATCTCTGTTTTGGAATATGGATTAAGACAAGGTTGAAAAAACCCAAGATTCCAATTTACATGAAATTGTAAGTGCAACTATTTAGAAGAACAAGATTCCAATTTACAACACGAAGTTGGAAAATGATAACTTTTTACATAACTCGTATAAATAAGATTAATATCGAGCATAACTCACATAGTATGCAAACAAGTCTTAATGCACGATTTAAAACTTGAAACGTTATGAGCTCTTCCAAAACAAAAGTGCTTGTCGATTAAGAATAAGTTTGGTTTTCGAGATGAAAGTTCAACTACAGTTCTATCATAGCATATACTCAAAAAAAAAAAAAAACTCTCGATAGCCAAGGACAAGACATCATACAATGGATTAGTTGAGTAATATAATGTAAAAACTCTAATAACTCTGTAAATGATCCACTAAGACTCTACATGACATGACATGACATGGCAACATAGAGTCTCTTTCCAAAATTTCTCAAATGAAAATATCATTGTAGAATATAGCTCACCCTATATGAACGTTTTGAACAATATCTCAATGAATTTCTTACAAATGATTTTATTTTCCAGTTTATTTAAACATAATTCCGAATGTTATTTTGTAAATTACAAGTGTAGGAAAAAACCCACCATACCTACGTTAGTCTTTAAAATCTAGGAACAACAAATGTTACGACATTGAAAATATCGTAATTCAACAATTCCAGTTCACATAATTTTCGTTCAAAATAACATATTCATATTTAAATTGAAAGGACAAGCTTTTTTCCATTTGACTTGGTCATTCTATGACAATCATGGGTTTATTTGTTGTAACCGTCAATCGATATTCTCGCTTACATTAATATAAAATTTATGCCCCGCTGCATTACGCGGGTATACAACTATTACATATATATATATATGTATGTATATATATATATATATATATATATATATGTATAAGAGGACATTTGGTTTGATAGAATGGTTTTAAGGGATTTGAATTTCGTAAAGAGATTTGGAATTGGAGAGATTTGAATTTGAAAGGATTTGAAATATTTAATGTTGGTTTGTAAGATTTGAAATGAAATTGAATTCATTTTTTATAAATAATTATAAAAACAATTAAATCACAATTATTATTAATTGATTATTACAAAACAAATGTTTTTAATATTTTTTAGAACGTTATTATATATAATCCTACAAAATCCCTTAAAATACCAAGCACCCCCAAAGGATTTCAAAATCATATGTTTGGGGGATGAGATTTCAAATCCAGAAAACCCTTCAAACTAAACATGAGATAGAAATGAAATTCAATTCCAAATCCCTCCAAAATCGAATCCAATCCTGCAAACTAACAGGACCCATGCATTGTAATAAGATGGTTATAGTTAAACCATTATTGGCCCAGAATTCAGCCATGCAAAAGAGTACTCTGCCTGCCACATTTGATGATTATACAAATATAATTCACTACACCAACTTCTTATTCAGCCATAGCATGACATACTTCAACCACTACACCAAAAAGCTACAAAATCAAACCAAAAATCATGCCTCACTACTCCAACACGATTTCAGTAAAACACAAACAAAGCAATCAACGAGACCAAACATGGCACTCAATGACCACATCGACCATATGGAAACTCACCTTTCAAATATAGACAACATGGAAGCTAAAACCACACACCTGGGCTTGACTATACACCACCTACTAAGCTTGATGATGTTTGTTTCAACCACAACTTGTGGACATTTGCTAGGTTTTGTCTGAATTGAGATTGATATTCACCTGTGATTCAGAGTTGTCATCTGAACCCATCTCCTTTTGATGCTTATCTTTTTTCTCGAATCGACCACCACATCCTCTGCTTCTTCTTAATGCATGCAAATGTCGTGATTCGTGCAAGTATGGCTGAAAATTTTCACAAACATTAGGCCCCAGAATTTAGATAATTAGAAACTAATGGAGGATTAAGATTTTGCACAGCTTAATCCAAATGTGATTACCCTGATGATTTTAGGCAGACAAAACTGATGCCCATAAAAAGTTTTCGTTAACTATGGTCTTAACTTAGATATACTGACAAGGAATGATAAAATCATGGTTCAGGTACAGTTGGGTTAATCAAGGCTACCAAGCGGCTTTTCACCCGATGATACCAACCACAGGCGATGTAGCATTATATGTGGTGCTTGTGTGTGGGATGGTTGTGTATTAGCTGATTAAATCGAAAAGATAACTTGTACTTGCATCAAGTGGGTTAGTGGCTCAGGCTATGTATCTTTAAGCATCCAAGATGGTACAACATCATAAAAGAGATGGATGCAGATATGACAATATGACAAATATGGCACTTGGATTAATCTCCTCTCTTTGCAAAGCACTCGATAAGTTGTAAATAAGCATGTACCAAGATGGTACTAAACAGATCCAGATATACGTTGATGGTATTCCACTCAGCTGAAGAGTTGTATACGTGATTGATCCTGGGAAAACCACACTATTTTATGGCTATAAAGGTATTTTAATCTTGACAGTTGATTATTATTATATCATAAAAAAAGATGCTCCATATCTTCTCAGGAAGCACGGTCTATTGGGACCATATGGCAATCTATTGGTTTGCATCCCAATAGACTATTCTCAGTGAGAAGACATAGGACTTCACTTTGATATGGTAATATCAATACATCCCCATATGCTATTATTCATAAGGTTTCTGCCTAAAGAGGAAAATCCTGAATAACACCCAAAGGATGTAACATCTAGTTGGTAAGCTAAACCACGTATCAGAATAACACCAGTAATTGTGATGAACTTCAAAATTTGAGGTAATAAGTTCTCCCAGAACAAGACTTTATATTTGGTTGTAGGGTAAAAGCTTCTACAAAGGAAAGACATGGGAGGATCGGAAGGTTTTAGATTGGGCAGGATGCCCTATTATAGGCAATCTACGATCCGATACTCAAGTCCCGTATCTTTGAAAAACAAGAAACATGCAACCACATCTCAATCTAGCACCAAGTCAAAAGTAATAAAGTGTGGTTGTGTTACATGTGAGATAACTTAGACCTGGCTAAGTTGTGAGCCTATATTCTGATTATCAATATGCCACCACATAACCAAGAATCAGGTTTTCCATGAGAAAGCAAAACATAGAGATAGAGGTCAATTGACATCTCATCAGCAAGTATATAGTCGGGACATCATGTAGTACACCAAACTATCCTACAATTGATATCTCAATTGAGTAGGAGTCAGATGACATCCACACCAAACCTCTTTGGAACCCCCAAATTGACTTCATTTGCAACAAGTTGGGCATTATCGATATTCCATACACCAACTCAGGGAGTGTTAGATGCGTTCACACGTCTTGTACTCCTAATTTTATCATTAACTCTCTTGTTAGGATCTAGTTAATCTTTATCTTCATCTGTATCTCAACCTGTTAGATTTTATTCTACAATGAATTATATATGAGAATTCACCACAAGCAATAAATATCAGTACGACACCTTGGATTACTAAAGTATTCACCTAGATGACAAGGCAGTCGCCTAGCATCCAAAAGACACCAAGTTGAGCATAAATCATATATTTTTTAGATACAATTTTAAGGGGATTAACTTTGACTTGAGGCTTCTTCGGTCAAAAAGATCTTATTATCATATAATTATTTGGTCAATGAAATCAATTCTTTCTACAATATCCTTCATTTAAACATCACATGATGCACTATAATTACCTTGCATCCATGTTTTGAAGGAAAGTGATGAAATGTATACTTGCTTGACAATTTCACTCTTGGTTGAAACATGAGATAGTATAATTACTATGACTTCCGTATATTAGAAACAAAATCACACCATTGCTCGAAATTAGCACAAATTTGAAATTGTGGGCGGGCAGGTGTAGGTGACATGTGGATCCAAACCTAGATTGTTGACTTCAATTACGTTGTGGGGTCTCCCCATGTGATCTGTGGAATTAGGGAAGTTGGATGAGAAAATAAGGGATTTGTGGTTTGCGATTGATGATGAAGATAAAGATCGACATTTGAAATGGAGAGAACAAACATGTTTCTTTTTCTTCTTTCTTGTTATTTTCCAATGTTTAACAGATGTTTCTGTATTAATTTTAGGTTCTTTATCACATCTTCGAGTTCAAGGTAAGAAAAGGAAACACATAATTAAATGTTCACATTTCCTTGAGTATCACAAGGAGACCAGTGGCAAGATTGGTACCAAAAATTCAGGCAAGACTCGATCATGAAATATTGCAGTTTCATGACCCAATCTTTATAGCAAGTCAGGCCATGGTGACCAAGACGGCCTTTTCATGTTCATCTATAATATAACTTAAGGGCCTTACCGTCTTGGTATTTCCAAAATGCGGAATAGAAAGAAAGGGTTGGATCATATTTCATAAAACTGTAATTAGGAATTTCGTTTACTTAAGATGAAGATAAATAAAACAGAAAAGGTATTGTGTTTGCAGGTATGACTCAACAAAAACAGCAAGTAGAAATTAACACAGATATATCTTAATATGGAGGGGAGACTGAAAAAGGAGAAGATAACATAACCAGAGAGAGCATGAAAGAACAAGAGTGAATGGAACGAGAGCGGCACTAGATTGAGAAAAAGGACTGAGATGAACTTCAAATATGTGATGATGGCAGAGACCAAGCTCATCAATTAGAAAGTCTTGAAAAAAAAAGTTACGCTGGATTACCTAGTACTTGCCCCTTACAATGTCTACAATAGTAAATGAGACCACCTCAGGTCCCAGAAGAGGAAAGAGGAAGAATTTTTTTACCTTTCTGGGTAGTAGAGAGAAATTTGACAACTCGAATTATTTTCCATGCTCCCCATTTGTTTCTTGCTATAATAAGGTTGACCAAAGGAAAACATTCTTGTGAGATACCGTTTAATCTATGATACCACATGTGGAGATGGATGATAACCACATAGTACAAGACAATGTGCCTAGGTGAGCATCTAATTCCAAGGCGCAGTGAGGCCGAGGCACATCGTCCCCAGAGACAAGAGCTTTAGCACTGAGGTGCAAGTTAATGGTTCAACGGTCCTTATAGCAAAAAAGATCCTACCTACATGCAAGTGGAACACAAGGTGTGTAATTCTTGCCATACCTTTCTAGATTTGTGAGCTTTATTTTCAGATTCAGCTTTTGCACGACATTGTCGGCGCCGTAAGATGCCGTGATATTGTTTAGCATTGACAAAAACAGGCTCCTCGACAGTATCTGATGGGAGAGGAACACCAGCTTGCTGAATTCCCATCAACTGAAGGTGTACCTGAAGAAGTAGATGAAAATATCTCTCTCACTCTTAGAACACAAACCGAAGTCTAAACCAAATGAAAAACCAAGATGCATGAAAGCTAGTATACCATAGGTTGCACTGGATACGGCTGAGTTGGATATGGTTGTGATTCGTATGGAGTGTAAATACTCCTGTAGTAAGGATCTGGGTAAGGATAAGCTGCTTGCCCCTGAGATTATAATAGAAATCATTTACTTCAACAGAAACAATAGCAAGAGAACTATTCAGTAATGGTGTTTGGCAACAGTTTACGTGTTTGGCGCTATTAATAAATTGTGTACTTGATTTTGAGTTTTGATTGTCTGGAAAACAGGTACATGGAACAGAAATATGCAGACCATTGACATATACAAGGTTGAGGTTTCAAACCCAATAAAACACATCTATTATTTTTTTCAAATTTAATATTGTATGTTTTTAAAAAATGCAAGTATTGTGAAATACGTTTTGATTTCAATATCAAACAAAAAATCACAACACTGTCCACATTGCAAAAAAAATGTAAATGTAAAACATAAAAAGCAAGTGTTACCAAATGAGTCCAAGTTATGAACAATTAAGGATAGTATAATGACTTTTCAGCAACTTCGAAGAGATACCAAAGCATTGGCTCCAAGCTGAGTTGGGTATGGGATGTTTGGCGTTGAAATAGAAGGATGAGAAATTCCAGTTGCAGGAGGTGAAGAGTGAATCTGAGCATCCAATTGGCTTTGCTGGACCTCACTTTCACTATTATCTGTTCACCAATGACAAATGTGAGACTAATAAGTAGACATGAAGGCATATGATTAGAAAAACAGGGTATAAGGAAACGACTACCTAGGTCAACAAAACCTCCAACTAGATCAAGCAAAATGTATAACCATAGTTTTCAAGGTAGTTGTACTGAATTCCCTCTGTTGAGTAGTATCAGTTCTTCCCATATCATTTGGGTTGAATTTGGAGGACGCTGCTAAAACAAGATAATGGATCAGCGGATGATCGTTTTAAATTCTTGCACTTGTGTCCCTTATGCCCTTAGACACCCTACCAATGCTGACTCATCTTGGCCCTTCATACTCTGGATTGATACAATTCACAAGATAAGTCTTTCTTGCTTCTCTTTACAACAAAATACCTCACCTTTGTCACTTATGCCCTTAGGCGTCCTACCAACATGTTGGCTCACCTTTGCCCTTAATAACTCTGGGTTGGATAAAACTCGCAAACCACAGAAACTAATAAGCTAGACCACCTACTTCCTCCAAATCTTGGACCTACAGGTCTTAGGGACAATGTAGTCTAAAATTAATTTCTTATGGGGGAAACACTGGTTAAAAAATGGGAGACTTGAGCCAATATTCTGCTCATTGCAACTTTGGCACAATTATAGTATACAAACATTTCTTATGCAGTTATGCTATCTCAGAAGGTCAAAACCACTAATTTAGAAGCTTTCAGGAAAAATGGCATCATATTTATTCTATAATGAGGGAACTTAAACAAAGTAAAAAGGTCTTGCTAGAATTCCCAAAAGATCAATGAAAAACAAAGCAATATTCAAATTTTAAGAACTTCTTTGTTAAGTAAAATACATTATTTGCAAGAAAGAAGGCATTTGTGAAAAAGCTTCATGGACTACTCTACAGCGAAATGGAACATGTCCATGCAATATCTATAGAAATGTGTTGAACTTCTCCACCAAGTCAACCACAAGATCTTGAGCATATTTGCTAGGTGATCAATTATTAAGTGAATCCGCATTTCAAAAAAATACCCTGATGTCTTTAAGTATCGTTTAGTCTAAAGAAAGTCACGGCCAATAACTCAAGTAAAGAGATAAAAGAAGAGCAATTTGCATATTGCTTCATAAGTTTACCACTTTATTTCAGTTCACTCTGAAACCTACTAGATTAGCATAATTGTTCCACAAGCTCCTCAAACATGGATTCATCACTTAACTCAAAGCATGCATGTGTGTTTTCAGTTGATTATGAATATAAAATAGACGATAAATAGTGGTCTGTTTTAGGATATGTAAGTAGTCAATATTCATCATCACCAAAGAACACCGACCAACCTCATCACAATCAATTCCTCCCACCACCACTTTCAATATCTCCTTCTGGATCTTTGGGGCCTGTAACTTGGAGATAGTGTGACCATGGTAGACTGTAAAACAACTGGTATATATTTTGGAACTTAAGACTATTAATATATAAGACTGTTTTTAGTAACTGAACTGTTGTGTATCTACAATAACTGCATTATATAAATGCAAACTTGTGAAAGCTGAAAGATTTATTAAGTCTGAATTAAGATTTTAAGAAGCACTTAACGTCTAGGCTCCTATTGTAGGCAGGGAATGACAGATCACAAAGCAAGCACAAACATAAAATTAGATTGATTTGGAGCAAGAAGATGGAGTAAGGTTGTAATCTAGATGGCAGAGAAAGTATTTGTTTCTCATACTCTCATCAGAAAGGCAATAATGAGCTTATGAACTGCTAGATTCTCGCTTCAGTAGTAGGAGAAATTGTTCCTTTTATGTTGAGCCTTATTAAGGTAACCTGCTTCGGTTTTTTAGTTTGTAAAGTGCATGTCTCATACTTTTTTTTGTCAAAAACAAAAAAGTAGTTTCCATTTTCCTTCATCTTTCCCCTTCCCCTTTTGAACAATTTACATTTCAAATTTAACTCAAATGGTAGCTCAGATAATTAATTACTTAATTTATATTCTGACCTTCTGAAAAAACTAATACGCCAAAATTTGAAAATACTGTGAAGCAATTAAGCTAAGAAGGAATATTGAAGCCAATTTGCAACCATGAGGAAAACCTTGTGAAGAAATGTGCAATAAGCAGGATAAAAGAAACAATAATCATGATTGTATCGGGTACGTGAATCAGAACAAATATTGAAACAAAAATAGTCGCAAATACCGGAAAACTCAGGAGCAGAGGAGGACATGATGCTGTCTGAACCACAGATTTGATGAACTGGGATCTGGCATCAAAATGACCAAATAAGCATCATAAAACACTACAGTTAACTAATAGTTAGACCATACAAGAAGATGCAATGATGAAACAATATTTCAAAAATTCTATGATATCAAATTAACCCACACTTACATTTGGATTAGGGAAAACTAGGTAAACACTCCATATTCTATTAAGTAAACCACTCTTGCATCCATTAAACCATGGGACCACAACTCTGTTCGTAACAGAGGGTAAATATAGTAATAATAATGCTTGGAAAGCAAGAAAAGACTAATAGACCAAATACAGTCAGTGAAGAGATGTACTTGTCATAACTAAATAATATTATCCTAAATCCCCAATTATAAATCTGTAACTATGTTAGTTCCTGGAGATTTGAATAAATTGAACCAGAATAACAATTTCATCCAACTTCATTTGTTAGATCCGAGCATTCCTCCTCAAGAATCCTTTCAATAAGACAAGACTTTTGACTATGTAGTTTAGGCCTTGCATTCACTTCAGGGTAAAGACACCTTATGATTGAGGGGGAAGGGGGGTGTTTGGTTTATGGCTTTATGCTCATGAGCATTAGTCTACAATAACTCTCTAGCCAAGTAAACTATTGTGCTTAAGAGCCAAGAATAGATGGCTTAAAATGTTTGGAGAAAAAAGGAACTTACAGCTATAAGACATTTTGATAATGGCGTACATTGCATCATCTAATTACTTTGAAGTTATACTCTACTCCAAGGAGATGAGGATATAGCGAGTACCACTCTAAAACTTCTAGAATGTACACGTCTCTCAAGCTCCAAATTAGAACATTAATTAGTACCTCACACCGTTCAAGGTCTATTTGAGAAATTTGTGTTGACCGGAGAGTCAGTTCACTACTTGCATCGAGCTTTCTTACCAACCTACATAGGGATGTCAAAGGATTGGGTCTTTATCTAGATCCAGTATGATCCAATTCATATGAACCAACTATTCAAAAGGTGATATGTTAATTCAAAATAAATGATCAAATAGATCCACCCATTTAGGTACGTCAATATTTGGATCAATGCATGATTAATCAATCAATCCCATACATCTCAAAAATAAAGATTTAAACAAATGGTATTCCTATGAAAAAGACCAATTAGTTGATTACAAAAAAAACAAAATTCGAAAATATATTTATTACCAAATAAAGAGGAGAATTTTCAAAAAAACTATAGATATGATATTTTATCATATAAATATATTCATTCTGAAACTAAGAAGAACTCCTATATTTATAGATCATCATTAGAAACAAATAAGAACCAAAAAAATTCCAACAGAAATAAAGAATTTTTTTTTAACATACTCAAGAATATTCCTATGAATAATTATCTAGGAAAAAGTTATAGTTATATTATATATATGRAAAAAAATCCAGATAGAAAATATTTGTTTTGTAAAATTCAAAAAAATATTAAGGCTGAACCTAAACCTAATAAGGACCAAAAAATGGATAAAATTCAAAATAATATAATTGTTTCCGATTCACCAGATCTTACCTCTTTCGAAAAAAGTCAATAAAAAATCAAGATATGCACTAACTTATTTAATAATTTGATATTAGTATTTATTCTGAKGCTTTTCAAAATCGTTCAAATATTCAAAAAAAGAAGTTGCAATTGGTCAAATGATATGACCAAGTTACATATAAAAAACGAATACCTATAATAGGAAAATGCAAATGTAAATTATTATTACGATAATTTATAMTCATAGAGCAAGGATAAAAAATTACGCAAAAAAGGGTACTTGATGCTAATATGWATTATAGGATTAACTAAGGTCATCGGTCTAATGAAATAATAACTCTTAAAATTGTAATATATATTGGATGTTGGAACAACCTTGATACAATATTTCTATTATTGTTTTAACTCAACATCATTAAATATGTACATAGGACACCAATATATATAGAGTACAAAGGGTTACAATCCTTGTAAACAACAGACACAACAGTTAAATAACTGTCAGAAACAGTAACTGTCACAGCTGTTAGGATGACTAACGGTCAACCAACATAATCAACCATGTCTAGCTTAATTTTAACACACCCCCTTAAGCTAGCAATGGTTGAACCTTCAAACTTTCCTTCATGATTCTGAAATTCCCTGATTGAAGAGCTTTTGTAAAACAATCTGCAAGTTGATACTTTGTTCCACAATATTCAATTTTGACTTCACTGTTTGATCCCAACTTCCATATGAAGTGAAACTTGATCCTAATGTGTTTGCTCTTTCCATGAAATACTGGATTTTTGGTTAGAGCAATGGCTGATTTATTGTCACAAAATATTGTAGTAGGTCCCTCTTGTCTGTGCTCCGATACATCTAGGATGGCCCTCAACCATAATGCTTGGCAACCAACAATGGAAAGTGACATATACTCTGCTTCGGCAGAAGATAAAGCCACTACAGTTTGTTTTTTTGACTGCCAAGATACTGCACCTGTTCCCAGATTAAACACATACCCTGCTGTACTTTTCCCATCATCCATGTTTCCTCCAAAGTCACTATCACTATACCCTGTGAGCTTGAAGTTTTCTGTTTTTGAATATGCAATTCCATGATTTAGAGACCCTTTAACGTATTTCAGGATCCTCTTCCCTGCTTCCCAATGACTGACTTTGGGAGATTCCATAAATCTGCTTATGATGCTGACAGAAAGCACCAAATCTGGTCTGGTGGCAGTTAAATACATAAGACTGCTTACTAGACTTATATACAAACTAGCATCTACACTTTCTTCTTTCCCATCCTTAGAGAGTTTTAGTTCCAAACTCCATGGGAGTAACAGCAAGATTAGACTGTCCCATGTTGAACTTATCAATCAAGTTTTGAGCATACCTTTGTTGTGAGATTTTGATCCCTTCTTCATCCTGTCTTGCTTCAATTCCCAAGAAGTAATGAAGTAAGCCCATGTCCGTTATATCAAATTCACTTTTCATGCTTTTCTTGAAGTCTTCTATTAGTTCTTGTGAGTTTCCTGTGAAAACTAAATCATCTACATAAATGTAGACAATTAGAATCAAACCTTCAATCTTCTGAGTGAAGAGTGTAAGTTCTTGTGCGCACTTGTTGAAACCATTTGCCATGAAATACCTTTCAATCCTACTATACCAAGCATGTGGTGCTTGCTTTAATCCATATAAGGCCTTCTCCAAATGACAGACTTTGTATTCTTCACCCTTCTTTGTATAACCCCCAGGTTGATCTATGTATACATCCTCTTCCAAGTTTCCATTAAGGAAAGCTGACTTTACATCCATTTGATGTACCTTCCATTTGTTCTGTGCAACCAAACCTAAAACTATTCTAATTGTTTCCAATCTAATCATACGTGCAAACACCTCTTGGTAATCAATTCCATGTTTTTGTTTGTACCCCTTTACTACCAATCTTGCCTTATGCCTATCAACTTCACCTTTCTCATTCAATTTGGTTTTGTAGATCCACTTAACTCCAGTGGATTATAACCACTTGGGAGATTTACAAGTTCCCAAGTATCATTCTTCATAATGGCCTCTATTTCCTTGTCCATAGCATCCCTCTATTCTTCTTCTTGGTAGGCTTCTTCAAATGACAGTGGGTCTGCATCAGAGAATAATACAAAATCTGCAAGATCATTGAATTCCAAACGTTTTGGATCATTGTAGATGTCCTTTAGGCTTCTATATCCTCTTTTTGGTGGACTATTAGTGGATAACACTTGAGTATTTGGAGTTTCTGAGATTTGTGAGGCACTGGGAGTAGTTGGAAAGCCTATTGTTAGAGAACATGGACCAGGGTGTGCTTGACTTTGACTGGTTTCTGCTGTATCAGATCATCTTCTGCAATCTGTGTAGTGTTTCCTTCCTGTCTAGATAGATCATTCCATCCTTTTCCCTCTTCAAACACTACATCTCTACTTATGATGGTCTTTCTAGTGATGGGATTATATAGCTTATAAGCCTTTGATCTTTCACTGTAACCTACAAATATGGTTTTTTCTGATTTTTCATCTAATTTATTTCTTTTTCGTTAGGTATATGGGAGTAGGCTATACATCCAAAGGTTCTCTGATGACCTACAGTAGGTTTATATCCTGTCCATGCCTCCTGTGGTGTCATGTTGGACAGACCTTTTGTAGAGGTTTTGTTCATCAAGTAACATGCACAAGCCACAGCTTCTGCCTAGAAGGAATTATCCAGGTTCTTCCCTTTTAACATGCTTCTATCCTTTTCAATTATAGTTCTACTTAGTCTCTCTGCTACCCCGTTCTGCTGAGTGGTATATCTAGTAGTTACTTGATGATGGATACCATTTTCTTTTAAGAATTCAAGAAAATAAGCAGAGTTGTATTCTCCACCCCCCATCCGATCTAATGGTTTCGATCTGATGTTCACTCTGTTTTCAACATAGGCCTTAAATGTCTTGAAGTTATTTAAGACTTCAGACTTTTCTTTCAAAAAATAAACCCATAGTTTTTCTACTATAGTCATCTATAAATGTAAGCATGTACTTGTTTCCACCAATAGAGGGAGTCTTCATAGGTCCACACAGATGTCAAGTGGCTTAGTGGCTCTCCAAGCTACTTCTTGTGGAAAGGACTCTCTTGTTTGTTTAGCATGCAGCCTTCACAAACATCTTCAACTTTGTTTATAATTGGCATTCCCTTCACTAAGTTATGCCTCTGCATGTAGCTTAAGTATCCACGGTTTGCATGACCAAACCTGTAGTGCCATAGTAGGGAATTCTGCTTTGTAGACACATGAAAAGAAAACAGAGTGTTTTCTTTAAAGCTGAATGGGAACATTTTGTTGCGTGTCATATTGATCTTACCTATTAAGCCTCCATGTTGATCTTTTACTTCACATGCTTCACCTTTAAAATATAACTCAAACCCTTTCTGTAGAAGTTGTCCTACACTAAGCAATTTGTGTTTCAAACCTGGAACATTATAAACACTTGGTATCCTTTTCTGTCCAGTCTTTGTATTTATCCGAATGTCTCCTACTCCTTGCACACTTAGCTTTTTATCATCACCTGTCCTTACCTCTTTCTTTTGGGTATCATCAACGTGAGTAAAAATGTCCATATCTCCAGACATGTGATTACTACATCCACTGTCGATATACCATGTGTCATCAATAGGTATTTCTAGAGTACCGAGCATCATGAACATGGTGTCATCATTGTCTTCTATGTTGACAAAATTGTTGTCTCTTTCTTCTGCAATTCTTTTCTTACAGTATTTGGCTATATGGCCAAACTTTTGACAATGATAGCACTGCATTGGTGATGACTTTCCCCTGCCTCTTCCTCTGATTTCTATTTGTTGTTCTTTTCCAGAAATTCTGTTTCTCTTTTGATTGTTTGAGGATTGCAATTGAAACGCCTGTTCATAAGGTGTGGAGTCAAACAGTTTCATCCTTAACTCATGAGACTGTAAGGTTCCAGTAAGTCGTTCAAGTGACATGACTGAAATATCCTTGGATTCCTCAATTGCCACCACGATATACTCAAACTTTCTTGTTAAATTTCTGAGTATCTTTTCAACTGCTCTTCTATCTTCTATGATTTCTCATTCAACCTTAATTGATTCAATATCAAGATTACCCGATTGTAGAATTCTTCTATTGTTTCAGACTCCTTCATTTTGAGTCCGTCGAATTCACATATGAGAGTTTGTAATCTTACCATTTTTACTTTGTCTTCTCGATAAGGTCTATAAAGCATGTCCCATGCATCTTTCGAAGAATTTGAGAAGAAAATCCTTTCAAAGATGACTACATCTACGGCTTGATAGATTATGTAGAGAGCCTTCTTATCCTTTTTCTTTAAATCTTTGAGTTCTTCTTCTTGTTCCTGTATAGAGTCACTGATTCCTTGATCGTTGATGTCCCATAGTTCTTATGATTCAAACAGAACCTTCATCTGTATGCTCCAGTGATGGTAATTTTTCCCGTTTAATTTGAGAAGTTGAGGATGCAGTATGTTGTTTAAACTTGAGGCCATTCGTAAGTTTTTGGCTCTGATTCCACATGTTGGAACAACCTTGATACAGTATTTCTATTATTGTTTTAATTCAACATCATCAAAAATGTACATACCAATATATATAGAGTACAAAGGGTTACAACCCTTGTAAACAACAAACACAACGTTTCCTAAATGACAGTTAAATAACTGTCAGATACAGTAACTGTCACAGCTGTTAGGATGACTAACGGTCAACCAACATAATCAACCATGTCTAGCTTAATTTTAACATTGAATTATTGATTTTTTTTGCACATGAGTTTTGCTTGTGTGGGTTCTCAATGGCTGAATTTACCATTGCTACAGCATGATCCGACTTCAGCGAGATATCGACAGCGGTGATGGGATTACGCTGAGGGGTGTTGGTGGTTGGAATCGCCTTTTGAGTGGACGTAAGTTACTACTGTCTTTGTCCCAAGATACAATTACATTATTTGACTTTGCAATTTTGTATATATTTGAATAAAAACTACATTCATGTTTTTCATTTTGTGTTCTAAGAGAACATGTTATACAACAAAAATTTCTACTGTACAAATGGAAATGCTATTGTATGTGTATAGTACAACTTGTGTTATAAAGAAACATGTCCCATGATATGTATTTGCATTTATGTGGTACAAATTGTGTTACAAAAAGTATGTTATAGAGTGGAATGTTTGGACACTCTGCTTTGAAGTCTTATACCAAATGGAGATGTATTTTTATTCGTACGGTAGAAACTTTAAGCAAGTTTTGCATTTTCTCATCTTATGAAAATGTCAAATAAATGGGTCGATGTTGGTGATGATCCATGTATTTTGATTAATCGGATTGTGGGTGGGTCATGATCCATTATCCAATGGAATCAAATCATATAATCAACTTAGTCGGATCATTAGTCATCCAACCTAAACTTGACCCACCGACATGCCTAACCTACAAGGGTTACCAACTTGTGTGTGATCAGGGAGTTTCTATTGAATGGAAGAATGTTAAAAATGGCTTATCCCAAGGATGGAATCATCAGATGGCCAGGACATGCGCATCAAATGTCGACTCAGGTACATGAACATAAAATTCAAAGAATATTAATGAGTCATAAAGTATAGTGAATATCTACTGTTTATGCACATAATGCATAGAACCTACACCTATACACACATACACAATTATGAAGAAACATCTTTGAGAAAATTGAAAAATAGATGGGATATATTGGATATTTGGATCATAAATATCTGAGATAGTGGACATGGGTTTACTTCTAGTCAACGAATGTCGTTACAGATATCTGCAAGACGTTAAAAATGCATGCATGGGTGAGATTTTTGCAATCACCTTTGTCAATCTCCTGGAGTAATCCGCTCTCTTCAAACATGGAAATTGAGAAACATTATGGCTTATAGTACTTTCTTATATCAAGAATCAAGTACAAGTGCAATCGAACTATGTCCACAACTAATGAACCCATTAACCATATGAGAGCAAAATATTCAACTACATATTACTTTGACTAGATCAGCTAGCAACTCAAGAAATCACACAAAATGAAGACAGGAACAACGGTCGTGCAAATCTCACAAAGACTTTACAATGTTTGATGGATTGATGATATACAAATGACCAGAGTACCACTACTTCATACTACTCTATCTCCCAATCAAAAGAACCTAACAGCATTGGAAGGTCCAAAGAAACCATCCTTACCACCATTCCTTTTCCTTTACCATCAAAAACAGAACTTCTCTCCCAAACAAACTCAACAAAAGTATCAGAATCTAACCACAGTTATTCATTCACCCAAATTGCAGAAAAAAAACGCTACAGAAACAACTATTTCAAGTCAACCCTATATCGAACCAAGTGAACTCATCATATATGCCAACAAAATCTCATATAATCTCTTCCAACCCTCACTCCACCCCCAGGCGCAACCTCTTAAGAAAAGAAAAAAATGAGTACTCGATATCGTATGGTATTCAATTTCGAAGCCAACAAATACCCATTGAAAAATAATTACTTATACCAGACCCAAAATCTTTCTCATAGCAGCGGAAGGAATTAATCAACCACACCTAGAATGATCAACGAGTTCCAGCAGATTGCTCTAGATTGAAGATTACAAACCAATTTGTTCGTATTTCAATTAATCATATTCAAATTATACAGACCACAGATAAGTACAGAGGATATGAAATACCCAATTCAGTAAAGCTATTATAAATAATCCAGGGTTTGAATTTAGAAGCTAGAAGCTTACCTCAGTAAGAAGGTTGAACGGAGATTGATATTTGAAGTTTCCGTTTCTGGGTCTGCTTAATTCTCTGCCGCTGATGGGAAAATTGTCGTTTTGCGTAGGTATGTTGTGGACAAGCTCGTGGCAGTGTTTCGCCCAAGTAGGATGTGGAAAACCTACTTTTATTTTGGATGGAATCAAAAAACACACTCGGTTTAATATTTATTTTTATTTTTATTTGGTTCCATTATCGGTAAACTAAATAATAGTTTTATTTTAATAAAAGATTTATGGGTAAAGTTAGGGATTGTTTGGTTCATGGAATTAGAAGGAATTGGAATGTCTAAATTTTTGACCAAATTCCAAATGACATGTTTGGTTCACATAATAGATGTGAATGAATCCTTCTAATTCCAACAAATTCCTTAATTCATTGATTTCACAATTTCACTGCATATACCACGGATTTCAAATTCCAATCCGACAAATTCTTTAGCCCTCATTCATTTATCGACGTTGTATCTCGATTTGCTCTATTCTGCTATGCTCGATCTCGTTTAAAACTAAGAATGGCAACAGGCCAGGTTCGGGCCGGTTATTGGTATCCCTGTCCCAGAAACCGATAACTAAAACCGTCCTCGTAACTGCCCCGATCCCCGTCGGGGATCTTATCAGGGATCCCCATCGGGTCCCCGCGGTTTCTCGATCCCTGTGGGGGAACTCGTTAAGGTAAAAATCTTCTTTTTCCCGTACACCATTGGTTGTAACCGAACCCGAACCCGAAACAGATCTAAAAAAATTACAATATGTTAATTTTCACAACTAAAAGTAAATTACAATTTTTTTTAGAGATACAAGTTTAAATGTCTCAAACATAATCGAACTAATTACAAACAATGTACTATATTACAATATAAAATTAAACAGAACTTCAAAGATCATGCAACTAAAATCACGATTTCACAATTAGAAAAATAAACTAGACTTTTTCGTGAGCCTTATTTGGGTTGTTGAAGTAAAGTAACAGTTTTTTAAATTTTAATATTACTATTTTCTTTTAATGATATAATATATATATATATATATGTATATAAATTAAAATTAATATATATACACATATCAGACCGGGTCGGGTCGATGATCACCGTCCCCACCCCCGTTCCCATTAAAATATCTGAATTTGTCCCCGATCCCCGCCCCGTCCCCGAACCCAGCCCGAAAGTTTCGGTTTCCGGTTTTCACCATCGGTTTCGGTTTTTTTTGCCTATAATTTTCTCGTTAAATTTCATGAAAGAAACAAAAAAAAATTCCAATTCCGTTAAGAATTCCATTCCAATTCCATCCAACCAAACGCAATCAAAGACATAGTCAAATTCCATCAAGTTCCATTTCATTCTCTCAAAGTAAAATTGATTTGATGAATTCCAATTCCATCGAATTACATTCTACGAACCAAACGCCCCCTTATGGTTATCAATGAGTTAAAAACAATGGTGGATTCAGAAACTTCTATTATTGGGGGCACATTTAAGAGTGTTAAAAAATTCTGAAACCAAATAACTCATTTGAACCAATACGATTTCGGGTTATTTGGTTTCCAGATTAAATGGTTCAGTTATAAAATAAATATAACTTATCGATTTGGTTTTCAATTAATTTTGACCATTTTGGATAAACCGAGACATCATATTGTCATGTACATATTATACTTTTCGTTTAAACCAAAGCAAATGAACACACTACACATTAATAGTTAGTAGCAAGAAATTAGAGGGCAAGAGGTCGATAACTTAGATTCAGTTAAAAAGAAATCAGATAGCAAAAGGTCAAAAAATCAAAAATAAAAGACAAACTAGTAGCAAATCTTAAATCAAAATAACAAACCCAAATTAAATAACAAATTAAAGAATCCTAAATCAAATAACAATTAAGAAAGAGAAAATTAATAATTAACAAATAACAATAATTATAAATCTATAAAACAATAAAATGCAAAAAGAAAGTTGAAAAAATTAAAATAGTGATTAATCAAATCATTAGCATTATAGCAAACAAAATAAGAAAAATAAAATGATTTTCAACAGATTGAGACTTGAAACTTAAGGACGTTTAATTGATCTTTAAAGCAATGGTTCATTGAAGTAAGAGTTATAAATAAGATGCATCAATTTAGATTTGGAGCCTTACCTTTAATTGTTGGGGCCTATTAATAATTTTTGGTTAATTTTTTTTTAAACCTAACACTCATGCTTTATTTGGGGTGTTTATTGGGGATTTAGGGTTAGCTTGATGGGGCTTGTGCCTCCTACCCCTTTAGTGTGCATCCGCCACCGGTTAAAAGGAAAGTAAAATGGGTAAAAATATTAATTTCTTTTATATAATTGTTCTATTAAAAAAAAATTCCTGATTTACTCAACTATTAGGGTGCGTTTGGTTTGCAGGAATGTAATGGAATTGGGGAGATTTGAATTTAAAATCCATTCCAATCCTGTGTTTGGTTTGCTAAATTGTTAGGATTTGAAATCCCGGGATTTCATTAAAATCCCTTAAACATGGGATTTGGAAATCCTTTGCAAAGGGGCGGGATTTAAAATCCAAATCCAATAAGAAACCTAAAATCGCTTCCTCCCGCTTCCCTTAGCCTCGCTTCCCTTCCCATCCCCTCGCTTCCTGCCGCCCTAACCCGCTGGTGCTCTTTCCTCCTCGCTGGTAATCTCTCATCCCCACCATCCCGATTGAACTGGTGCTCTCGCCGGTGCTCTCTCCTCCTTTTCACCGCCTTCTCTCATCACTCAGCAGGTAAAGACTTTCTTTTTCCCCTTTTCTTGAATGTGCTCTCTCCTCCTCTTCGCCCCTTTTCATTTTTGTTAAAAACCCAGTAGTTTATCTCTCTTGATAGTTAGATTCACTTGACTGCTTTTCATTCCCACCATGTTCGTGTTTGTGGCCTGGAGACTTGTACAACAGAAAGTTTCATTCCAATCCTGTGTTTCTATATGCTTTGTATATAATTTTTTGTTGTGTATGTTTTGGCTTCTGTTCGAATCGACATTATATGCTTAGATTTGTGTTTCTGTTTAAATCTACATTATATTCTGTTCAAATCGACATTATTAACTTGTACAACAAAAAGTTAATAATGTTTTAAGGATGATGATTCATTATGTTTAGATACATGGAGCATATTAACATGAGTAGGAAGCATGTTGGCTATACATTTTGAGAACTTTGATATTGCAACAGCCTGGCTTGGTCTTGCTAATGTAATTTGTTGTTTTGTTTGGCACTTTCTTGTGGTGTATATGGACATAGATGTGTTTATGGTATCTTCAATAAGCTGTGATTGAAGCAGGAAAGTTGTTGAAAGGATTAGTAGCTTTATGAAACCACAATAGGCAATAGAGCATTTAAGAAACCATACAGTCTACAAGTTATATCGGTTAATTGACGTGGTTCTTTACGTCATACTTTTGTTTGTTTTTCATTTATGCATTGGTCTTTATATGAGTAGTAACATGAGTAGGAAGCATGCATTGGTTCTTTACGTCATACTTCTGTTTGTTTGAATACATGGAGCATAGTAACATGAGTAGGAAGCATGTTGGCCCAACTGATTCAGTGTAGTTAATATTAGAAATTTTTACTTTCTTTTAAAGTGTTCAAGGTTGTGTTTAAATACACACTTTGTTTCCTTATTAACAGGAAACTAATCTATAAAGGAATGAAGGAAACTAATTTATGTTGACCTAATTTCTAGCTGTTATTATATCTACACCAACATTTTACCTCAAGTTGGAACATATATATTTATAAGACCCAACTTGCAGATGATTATATCAGAGCTTGGCTTGTACAATCCTTTTGCACATATATTACTTTTGTTATGGATGGAGGAAACTTAAAGGAAGTTTGTTTAGGTGAGAGTACCTTTTTCCAAGTGATGAGAACATTAATGACTTGCTTAGGTGACTTGCTCATAGTTTCTTTTTGAAGTTTGTTTTAGTTTGGTAATTAGAATTAGGTGACTTCACTTTAGGAAGTTCCTTATATGATTAGCTTCTTATTGAATTTGTGTTTTTTGCTTTAAAAATTTTGCCAAATAAACAATCTAAGGTTGTACGAGATTTGTACTTTGAATATATGTTTAACAATTTGAGTAATTGGACAGGAAATGGACCGACTTAGTTTAACAAGACGTTTACATAGGCAAAGGAGACAAGAGTCATTGGAATGGTTTAACATAGTTGTCCATATTGTTCTATTCTTTGTTGTGTCCCTTTGGATGATTATGGTTAAAAGACAAAGGGATAAACAACAAATTGGATACTCGTCTTCAAATGTGGATCGATCCTCAATAATGCATAGGTATATTTATGAGAGTGACACTATGTCTATATCTCAAATTAGGATGACTCAAACGTGTTTCGAAAAGTTGTGTGCCATGGTTGAAACATACGGAGGGTTAAGAACAACTAGGTTTATGAATATTGAAGAACAAGTTGCCATTTTTCTTCATATTATTGCTCACAATGTTAAGAATCGGGTTATGATATGTGGTTTTCATCGTTTGGGAGAAACAATTAGTAGAGTTATTGCTAGAGTTTGCAATGCCGTAATAAGGTTACATCCACGATTGCTTAAGAAACCTGAACCTGTTCCTGATAACTCTACTGATCAAAGATGGAAATGGTTTAAGGTATTTCCACTTCTTCTTAAAATTTACTTATTTGTAAATAAGTTTAATTATTATGAAAATATAATGATCTTCTTTTTCTTGGTTCTAGAATCGTCTAGGAGCTTTAGATGGAACCTACATAAAATGTTTAGTTCCAGAAGAAGACAAACCTAGATATAGAACAAGAAAAAATGAAATTGCGACAAACGTGCTAGGGGTGTGCTCACAAGATATGCAATTTATATATGTCTTACCGGGATGGGAGGGGTCGGCTGCTGATGATCGAGTGTTTCGAGATGCTCTTCTTAGGCCTCATGGATTAAAAGTTCCAAGACCGGGTATAGTTTTTGATAGTTTACTATATATTAACAAGTATAAGTTCTGATGGTTTATTAAATTAATTTATTATTAGGTTATTACTTGGTTAATGTCAGATACACAAATGGAGAGGGTTTCTTAGCTCCTTATAGGGCTCAAAGATATCATTTAAATGATTGGCGTGATGGACACCAACCAACCACTGCCAAAGAATTTTTCAATATGAAGCATTCATCGGCGAGAAATATTATTGAACGATGTTTTGGTATGTTAAAGGCAAGGTGGGCAATCTTAAGAGATAACTCGTATTATTCTATTGAAAAAAAAGTTAGGATCATCATGACATGTTGTCTCTTCCACAATTTTATAATGCAAGAAATGCCAGTAAATCCACTTGACAATGAAGATGAAGTGGATGAGGGAACCAGAGACCATGGAGTCGAAGACGGAGATAATATAAATGTTGTTGGTACTTCAAATGAGTGGACTGCATTTAGGGATAATTTAGCACAATCTTTGTTTGCTTCTTGGAATGCTACCTGTTGATCCCCTCTCTCAGTGATTTGATGATAATCCCTTTTACCTTATATGAAGTATTTATATTTTTTGTCTTTCAGTTCCAGCGATCATCACTAAGTCTGTTCAATGATCGCTGAGAACATGTAATGTAAATCCATCAGCGACAGCGATATTTCAAGAAGACAAAACTCACACCAAAGAACCTTAAGCGAAAGTCGAAGACTGAAATTGAAGATTAGAGACTGGCGAGTTCGTGATCTGAAGCGGTATTCAGTGATTACAACCTCGTCTATACATGTGTGAAGACTGCCCAAGCCTCAGCGAATGCTAAAGAGACCTTCAGGTTATTCCAACATTCAATGATCAAAAGAAGCTTGTTAAGCACGATCGTTTTTGTCTTGTCCTTATACACACAAAGGACAAACCCATACCCTTTCTAGAGCATAGTACGGTATGGAGTCGATTAGTTGACTCTACTACCCACCAACTCCATGAAAGGATGTCTGCTCATGAATAGGCTTTTGTATTATTCTTTGTAACAAAGGACAAGTCTTTCTCTAAATACTTAAAGCGTGTTCAAACCCTACTGCATTGCATTAAATGTGTATTTAATGCAATGGGTATAAATAGATGTGTTCTATCTCCATGCATAGATACTCTTACATTTGAATCCTAACTTATGTTCATATGTGAAAGAACAGACATCTAAGACCACAATACGCTTATCTTCAAAAGCAAGTTAGAATCCATTTTTAGTATTCTAAATAGTTCTTACCCAGAAAGAACTTACTTTCTTCTAAGTCTTAAACAACAAATCATTTCTCTTTGCTAAGAATTATTGTGTAACTCAGATTGTTTAGATAGGTTATCTTTACCTTATCTTTCCGCAAATAATCTTGTAAAATCTATATTGATCATTCTTTATCAATATATATTTTTAATTTGAAAAGTTTACTGTGTTTGTATTCATCTCCCCCCTTCTACAAACTGTTATACACATCTTGTAGACCCTAACGGGACCAACAAGTGGTATCAGAGCAGTGTATTTTCTATTCTTGTTGTTTAGTTGTTTTTCTGCATTATATTATCTTTTTCTTTAAATAATCTTACTGCTTTCTAATGGCTTTACAAAACACAAACACACACTTTCATGACAATGGCTCTTTTGCCAAACCACCCCGTTTTATTCGAGACAACTTTAGTCTTTGGAAAAATTGGATGTTCCTCTTTTTGGAAGGTGTGGATCCTAAAATTCCACACTATATAGAAAATGGACCATATGTTCCACATGCTATTTCTCTGGTTGTTCCTGAAATAGCTATGACTGTCAGGATTCCTGAACGGCAGATTCCAAAGCTCCTTCATCAATGGAGCGATGAAGACAAGAAGAAGATAACTATAGACACTCGTCCTAGGTCTATAATAGCTATGTCTCTTCCTAATGAGGTTTAACATTCTGTTATGAAACTCAGAACCTCGAAAGCCATGTGGGACACTTTATGTGTTCAATATGAAGGAACCTCTCAAGTTCAAGAATCGAGGAAGATTAATTTAGTAAGACAATATGAAAGCTTTCTCTGTGGAAAGACTGAAACATTGTCTGAAGTACATCAACGTTTTAATTGTCTTCTTATAGATTTAAGGACTGTAGGCAGGGAATATTCCAATTCTAAAACTTTAACTAAGTTTACGGAATGTTTGCTTTAGTTTTGGGATACTTATGCCATGTGTGTAACACCCCAAATCCACACATTGCATATAACACATATTTCATATATAAAGTACATGTTTTCCCCACATAGGTCTTCGATACAAGAGT